GTGCGGCTAATACCACATTCCTTTTCTTGAGCTACACTGCTCTAGAAGTCGGGCAGAATACCAAGATGTGTATCTATCGATTCGTAATGACCAGCCGCGTCGAACTACACCACGGGAGCGAAGATACGTTGAGATTAAAAGTTTGGCCACATTAGCGGTTCTGAGATGTGACGGAGCGAGCATACTGTGGATGAGTCACTTGCTTAGTGATTTCGGGTCCAGACGCCCGCCCACTATATCAAACCTTAACTGGGAGCGCGTATAAAGGACATCGGAAACCATGAGCAATCCATCACCCACCTTTTCTTCCTGCCGTTATGCTGCTGCTATGCTTGCCCATGTTGTCGCCCTGCTCTTGTAAGTGCTTCTTCCTTTACCGTCACCACGACCTGACTTGTTGGTTCTCCGTCGCATCAGTCTTTTCGCGTCTCGATGCTATCATCGTCGTCGGACTCTCTTCAGCTGCTTTGATTCCTGCTTCCTCGATGGTAAGTGTGTCTTGCCGTGTACCGTTATCAGTATCTGACTTGTTGATAGTCTAGACATCTACATAGCAGGTGTCTGCGGTGACTCGCGACCTCTGATTCACATTCTGTGTCTACTCGTCGTACAGTACGTTTCCCGCACTAACGACTAGGTACTCGCTGCTCGGATCTGCCTCGACTCGCGGGCTTAAGTGCTACTAGTCGTCGGCAGCACGGTACGTCGCAGTGACTCGCATCAAATGCACTGATTAAACCTTTTAGCTGTCCGTGTGTGCTGGGGCAAATACCACAGCTTCGGCTGCCCAAGACGGGGACTGCGCGAGCCAGGATTTGGGATGGTGGGGGTCGTTTTGCCTCCATCCGAACCGACCTTGCGCGCAGATGGTATTTAGCCTGGTATCCTGCCCGCCCTCCTTGGAGCAGCGCAATCAGCACCCGAGACACCTTTTTTTTTAATTCTAGCTGTGAGAGATCTGATGCTGCACTCACCAGCCCCATCCCTGGGTAACGGACCTCTTCCGGTTTGAATCTCGGCCGAGAAGACCAGCTCGACTTAGCAACGCACTACGCTCCTAGTGGCCATTTATTTCGATTAGCTTGTAATTACTATATTAGGACTACTCTGCCACAAAATACATTCATTTGAACACGAAACTTCTCCTTTGAGACTACCACACGCAGCCACCCACGAAGAAGACACAGCCCACGAGTGCAAGATCTCTCTTTAGTCCTGGGTACTGATTCAGGGAATGCAGCTGGTTGTATGAGAAGAGATGGTGTGCGACGATTGCGGTTACATTCGCGAGTACGGTTACGTCGTCGGGCATAGCGCCTGGGAGCAGCAAAATTGCGGAGGAATTTGGGATCACTAGTCAACCGATAGTTGCAATGACCGTGTCGATATTTGTGCTCGCATATGGTAGCTTTCATCTTCCTCTTGATCTCCCTTGCGCGTTCTTTCCACTTACGCGATTCTAAAGCAATTGGGCCTTTGGTTCGTCTTTGAAACTAGAACACTCTGGCTGCTAATATCGCCTAGTTCATGGCGCCTCTTAGCGAAATCTACGGCCGTACTAAAGTCATTCAGCTCTCCAATCTCTTCTTCTTTGGTGAACTTCTTCGTACTCCTGGAATAGATGAAGCTAACTTCCATTTATAGCTTGGAACATGGCCTGCGGTTTTGCACAAAACAAAACCCAGCTCATCATATTTCGTTTCCTCGCTGGTCTAGGCGGTAGCCCTCCGCTTGCAGTAGGCATGGGTGTACTCGGCGACATGTGGCGCGCAGAAGAGCGTGGCCGAGCAAGCGCGACATATTCTCTAGCACCTCTCATGGGCCCCGTCATTGGCCCCGTCATCGGCGCGTGGATTTCGGCGCGTACGACGTGGAGATGGGTGGTGAGCATTCCTTCTTCCTACAATGTATACTCTTAATCACTCCTAGTTCTGGTCAACGTGCATATTCGCCATGGCCGTGCAAGTCATGGGATTGTTTTTCTTACGCGAAAGTGAGCGTGTTTCCACGATATCGGCTATTCGGTTCATCTTTTCCCGGTGTTCACAGCGTTCGCGCCTGTGCTACTAGAGCAGAAAATCGCGCGGTTGCGTAAAGCGGAGGAGCCGGAGAAGGGAGCGCTGAGGTATAGAACCGTGTTTGAAGCGTCGGAGACGCGAAGGTAATGTGGGAATAGCTACTCTTAGCTAATTTGCTAACGTCCAACTAGCTGGCAGCACATCTTCTCGAAAGCCCTACGCCGCCCATTTGCCCTGTTCATGCACGAATCCATCGTTCAGCTTCTCGGACTGTACATGGCATTCATCTATGGTATATTCTACAGTACGTCCTACTCATCCATTTCGCTCCACACTAGTTCACGTCCGCGCGCTAGTTTACCTGACGACTATACCCACCATATTCCGAGACGTGTACCACCACCCGCCGGGCGTAGCTGGGCTGCACTACTTCGCGCTCGGGATCGGGTTGATATTCACTTCACAGCTCAATTCGCGTACAATGGATACGGTGTATATTTACCTGAGAGACAGGAATGGGGGCATTGGGGAGCCAGAGTTTCGAATTCGTGGGTTACGCACTAGGTCATTGGCATCAGCTGACTGGTTCACAGCATCAATGTTTCCGGCATCGGTGTTATTTCCTATCGGGCTCCTCGTGAGCGGGTGGGCGGCGGAGAAGCAGCTTCATTGGATTGTGGTCGACGTGGGGATGGCGCTTGTGGGCGCAGGTATGATTCTTAGCTTTCAGAGTATTCAGACGTATTTGGTGGATACATTTACCCTGTTTGCTGCTTCCGGTTAGTGAACTCGCCTTCCGATGTAGCTCGATACTGACCGTGAATGCAGCGTTAGCAGCAGTGACGTTCATCCGGTCGGTATTTGCGTTTGGGTTCCCGCTGTTCTCGCCGGCGATGTATGCAAAGCTGGGATATGGGAAGGGAGATACGATTTTGGCTGTGTTGGCTATCGTCATAGGATGTCCTTCGTGAGTACCTGAAGAAAGTCTGGAGACAATGCTGATCATGCTCTTGAGGCCTTTCTTGTTTTGGAAATACGGCAAGGCCGTTCGAATGAGAAGTCGACATACGATGAAACCAGTTGTATCATAATACCTACAATGGCTGTATGAAACCAAGTATATAGATGCAGATCGTACGATATCTGCGAGAATAGAGCAAATAAGTAGTCCAAGTAATGTGATATTTAAGGACGAGGGGCAGCTCTAAGAGTAGCGCTGCATCAGAGTGAGGCTGGGCATATGGAAGTCGATGCGTTATATATCATGCTTGAGAGATGTTAACTCGGCAGGTAGAATTTGCCGTGCACGTTCAACGGTCAACACGCACTGTCACACGTCCTACACGGCAGGGTCCACACGGCCAAGCACTGGCGTGAATTGCTGGACAACCCGTCATGCGCTGACAAAAATCCGAGTAGAGTAGATAGAACCTTACACCCAGCCATCTCCGACTGCAGCGCCAAGTCTGCACGCAGTACGTGTATTCCAACATTAGTGGAGAGCCCAGTTGGAGCCGCGGTCGCCCTATGACCTCTGATGGGTTACGGTAAAACGGTGAGTGAGGGATTTTCGCTAGAAGCAAACTACACTTACCGCGAAATGTGCCCGTCCACGATCGAGGCCTTCGAGCTTCATCGGCAAGTTGTCAAGAAGTGTAAGAATGGAGGTGTTGCTTACACTTTCAACTATGCCTGGATCCATCGAAATGCAGACGGGCATGCATCCGAGGAGATGGCCAGCAACCGATGTCTTTCGCACAAAAATAATCCTGAGCTGTCAGATATCAGTGGCTTTCGGTAGGAATGTCTTATTAGAAAACTGCGTTGAACAAGAGAAGACGACATCTTTGATTTCAGAAGACAAAGCGAGAGCACGAAGCGGACCAATATCACGTACCAAGACGAACATGTAACTGGCATTTCTAAAAGGAGTTCACGAACACGAGAATCAAGAAGAGCAAAGTAATGTACCACGACAATTTTGAAGACGGCTCTGACTGTGAGCAAGTGAAATCTGGCAATAGCTTGCATGAGAGGCAGAGGCCCCAGCAGTAGGAGACTTGTAACGTGTATCTGAGATCCCCGCGAGGATCCCAGTGGGGACTTGGCTGAGTGGTTAACAAACAGAGATGCCTTGAGTAGTAATGGATACAGTGGGATAGAAATACATGTGCAGGGAGATGAAATGTCCGTCTACATCGCCATGGAGATGCCTACAAGTGCAGGCCATAGAATAGCGACAAAGCGATTAAGGTCGAGGTCTAGGCGTCGCGAAGCCGAGTTCACCTCGGATATGGTAGTGGCAGAGCTGACATCTGCGATTGAGGAGGAGATTGTTGCGGGCGTGAGGGTATAAGAGTTTGAGGAGGAGACGCTAGGTATAGAGGAGGCCTGAAAGGCGAGCTGCGCTTCAGAGTAGGTTTCCGAGGATTGGGTTTGGACGATGCCTTGGATGGTAAAGTTGGAGGTGTAGACGATCTTGTGGGGCTTTGCAGAGATCATGCGCATAGTGCTACAAATAAACGCCTTGCGTCAAATCAAAGGTAAGCGACTTACTAGACGTTTCCGATGTACGGCAGGTCGCGAGAAAGGTAGACCGTGTATGTCCCGGATTGTGGATCAACATTACGCGCCAAAGTCGTGATATAAGTCTAGACAACAGTGATAAAGGCTCTGCAGAGCGATAAAACAAAGGCGCGTACGTGTTCGCCAGCAAAGAGCTCGACCTTGAACGGGCCCATGGGTCCTGATGGGGGATCGTCGTTCCATTCGAGCACGGCGGGCTGCCCAGCAGTGTACACCGTGTCGCGCACAGGCTGGGTTGGGTAGATCGCAGCGTTGACGACGGAGGCTACAGCGAGCGTGACGATGAGCAGAGAGATCGACATGGCGGAGGGAAGACAAGAGACAACGAGCGTGGTCTGCACTGTGACTTTGGAAGCTGGCGCGGCCCTGAGTAGTGGCACGGACTGACGCCTTCAGACACCGATGGTGAAGCGGTTATCATGCTTGCCTTCCATCCTCGTAAAGTCGTTTCGAAGCAAGCGGCAGGGGTTCGACTCCCCTTCGGTGTAGCTTTTTTGGCTGTCAAGTCGGCAATGAGTATCTTAGGGTTGCGCAGTATATTGCCTGGGCGGTTAGTAACCTCGGCGGAATATACCTTCATTTTGGGGTATGTTATTAACGGTTACTAACCGTTATTAACCGTACACGTGATGCAATGTGGCGTATTTTCCCGGTCCGAAGCAAAATTTTCTTCTCGGGCCCTCAGGAACATATCCAGTGGCTTCAAAATCATCCAATTTGAGTTCTACTGATCCTCTGATGAATCTATGTGGTCTAGTGGCTCATTACCCACCCTCTTGCCCACAATCACCCTCCTCCCACTGATCCCGCCACACATCGCCACGGTCTGCTCACATGACTGCATCATGTGATAGGTTAATAACCGCCCAAAACTTACCTCTCGGCGGGGGTGTTAATAACCCGGTTATTAACCGTTATTAACTGGTTAAATATCGAACGGCGCGATATTGAGGGTACTTATCCTGCGCAACCCTAGAGTATATAATGTTATCTAACTGTTGACAGCGGAATGTTGAATGCTCAATTAATTCACAGCGTGCTGCGTCTGTGCCTCCACCCTACGTCCAAGCAGGCATGTACTGCTAAGCCGACCATCTTGAGCAACCAGAACTTAGAAGAGAGGACGACATATTCAGTCCCACATCAATGAAACGCAACGAAGAACGTAGAATGAGCAATGACTGGACCGCTTGCGAACGGCGCAGAGTTGATGGTAACCCATCTTGTTGCGCAATTGTTGTTGCGCGAGCATAACCACATGTAGTTCGCCCGACGTGTTCATTTCCGATGTGATCTTTGGACTGTCACGCTTTCGCGCCTGGAGTAGACCCCCCTTGATCTACACGACTCAAGTTTGTCAAATTTGAGTTGACTCCCGTTTATGATCGCATTGCCGTCTAAACGTATACATAACCTGCCAAAAGATATCTTTTCATACGGAACTCCCAAGTCGTTGAGGGGTATTTCACCTGCACCTTTGAAAGTTCCTCTGCAGCATTCATCGCATCACCCATCTGCGCCAGCACGCTGTTGACTCTCTCGTTGGTGCACTTGAACTTGATGTCAGCCTATTAATGAGGGATGACAAAAACCGTACTATTAGTTATTCGTCGACGACTGCAAAACGACTGAATTCGGTACCGTTTTCAGTTATTATGCTGTATTTGCAATTTCTTCGACAAAAAACAACTAAAATCAGTACCCCTTGTACAGAATGACTAGAATTGGAACGATAGGTGCGCCCGACCCGCTATTTCCTTATTTGGTAGGACAAAGGGTCCCCGATGTGGCGCAGTTTGTGGTGACTGATGGATTCCGGTTAGGATTGGGTTAGGTTGGTTAGGCGGGAGGTTAGGGTAGGTTGGTGACGCTTCGGCGCGCGCTAGCGCGCCCTACACTTAGGCTTCGGGAACCGAAGCCTAAGTTCTCGGGGTTAGGGGTTCGGGTTCGGGGTTCGGGTGGTGGGAATATATCTTCTCGGGGGTCTGGGGTCTCCCCAGCAGGCATTTCCCCTCACTGGGTCAGCCCGGACAGTGCGTCGGGAGGGGCTGTACCAATTTCAGTTATCGGGATCCCGCCGAAGCCCTGTCTCCCCGATTTCAGTCATTTTACACATTTCAGTCAATGTGCATAATAACTAATAGTACGTATTGTGTATATACTCCCTATTAATGCCGGAAATCTTACCATGAGTGGCCGCACTTATTCTGCAAATTGCCAAACATCATGATGATCAAGCTGCAAGGCATTATACTCCTGCCCCTCTAATCCGGTATCGGTCGCGAGTGTGTCTCGGCAGGAATATTCGGAAACGGCCGTCTACCACTCTAATTACTATAGCGCTCTACATCAAAGGATTGCCTATATAATCGGGGCAATTCCAAGTAAGCAACGCCGAAACCAATGTAGCCATCACGTCACAACTGGTTTCATCGTATGTCGACTCCGCATCCTTACATCTTTGCCGTATTTCCAGAACAAGAACGGTCTGAAGCGCATGATTAGGATCGTGTGCGCTATACCATACTCGGGGACTCACGAAGGACATCCAATGACAATCGCCAACACCGCCAAAACCGTATCGCCCTTCCCATAACCCAGCTTCGCATACATCGCCGGCGCAAACAAGGGAAACCCAAACGAAAACACCGACCGCATGAATGTCACTGTTGCTAATACTGAATTCACGGCGATCAGCATTAGGACAGATGAGAAGTAGACGCCCACTAACCAGATGCGGCGAACAGTGTGAAAGTGTCAACCAAATACGTCTGAATGCTCTGAACGCTCAGTATCATACCCGCGCCTACAAGCGCCATCCCTAGGTCAACCACCACCCAATGAAGCTGCTTCTGCGCCGCCCACCCACTCACGAGGAGCCCGATGGGAAGTATCACCGACCCAGGAAACATCGACGCTACGAATCGGTTAGCCGATGTTAACCAACGAGCGAATTAATAGCTCACGAATCCGAAACTCTGGCTCTCCAATACCGCCATTCCGGTCTCTCAAATAAATATACACCCTGTCCATGGTGCGCGCATTAAGCTGTGAAGTAAATATCAACCCGATCCCGAGCGCGAAGTAGTGCAGCCCAGCTACGCCCGGTGGGTGGTGGTAGACGTCTCGGAATATGGTGTGTATAGTCGTCAGATATACTAGCGCGCGGACGTGAACGAGCGCGGAGCGATATCGATGAGGAGGACGTACGGTAGAAGATGCCATAGATGAAGGCCATATACAGTCCGAGAAGCTGAACGATGGACTCGTGCATGAACAGGGCAAAGGGCCGGCGTAGGGCTTTCGAGAAGATGTGCTGCCAGCTAGTTGTACGTTAGCAAATCCGCTAGAAGTAGTAGCCATTACCACATTACCTTCGCGTCTCTGACGCTTCGAACACGGTTCTATACCTCCGTGCGCCGCCCTTCTCTTCATCCTCCTCACTGCGCAGCTTCACAATTTTCTTCTCCAGCAGTACAGGAGCGAATGCTGTGAGTACCTAGATAAGGTGAACCGAACAGCCGATATCGTGCAAAACACGCTCACTTTCTCGTAAGAGAAAGAATCCCATGACTTGAACGGCCATCGCGAATATGCTTGTAGACCAGAACTATCGACAGTCACGAATACACTGTGCATGAGAGATGACTACTCACCACCCATCTCCACGTCGTACGCGCCGAAATCCACGCGCCGATGACGGGTCCAATGACGGGGCCCATGAGAGGTGCTAGTGAATACGTCGCGCTTGCTCGGCCACGCTCTTCTGCGCGCCACACGTCGCCAAGCACGCCCATACCTACTGCAAGCGGCGGGCTGCCACCTAGACCAGCGAGGAAACGAAATATGATGAGCTGGGTTTTGTTTTGTGCAAAACCGCAGGCCATGTTAAAGGCTAAGTAACAAACTTAGCGCTAGATATGCGATGAATGAGAAGAAGGTCACCGAAGAAGAAGAGATTGGAGAACTGGAGGATGAGCGTACGACCGTAGATCTCACTAAGCGGCGCCATGAACTAGACGATATTAGTAAACACAAATGTGCACTCGCGCCGAAAGACGAACCAATGGCCCGATTGCTACGAAAGTTCCGTCAGTGGAAGGACCATTCAACGAAGACAAAGCCCACCATATGCCAGAACAAATATCGACACGGTCATTGCAACCATCGGCTGGCTCGTAATGCCAAATTCCTCAGCAATCTTCCTACTGGCAGGCGCAATCCCCGACGACGTGATCGTGCTCGCGAATGTGAACAGCGACACCGCAATCGTCACCCGCCACCTCTTCTCATACGGCCAACTGCGCGTTCTCAAAATCAGTATCCACCGGACAAAAGAGAGATCTTGCATACTTCTTGGGATTTTCCGGGTCGTCCGGTCCATCCCAGTCGACGACGACGACATCGCTGTAGTCCTCGCCCACGTCGGTCACGGTTTGCTGCGACTTTCCACCTGTCTCGTCTGACATGGTGCTTCGAGTTCAAGTTGAAGTTTGGTGGTTCATGGGCGCCGACTTTTATAGATGGATAAATCTGTTAATCGCTCCTCATGGCTGGCGATGGGGCTTGGATGTGAACGATGCCAAGTGAGAAGCGAGAAGTTAGGTCCTAAAGGAGAGAACTGACAACTCAGAGGGGAAGGCCGGGGGGTAATAGAGTGGATGCGGTATTGAGGGAAGCTTCGCCAAGGTCAATCTCTGTCTGTGACGCGGACCACTCTCTGGGGACCTTGTTCTCAGAATAAGCAAACGACTTGAAGTATGAAGCGAAAAAAAAAAGCCACGTAAAATGAAGCAAGGCTTCGGATGCATAGACCAGGTCGACCCACACTCACCCGTTTGATTTTTCAAGTGCCAAGACCTGACCTGTTCTTCGACGGGGAGAAGTAATCGCCGGGCCAGTACATTGAGGCGCATTTAGATACCGATGCGTCAACTGGGAATCCTGAAGTGACGATTTAGCAAGAAGACTCGGATGCCGGCAAACAGTACCTCGGAGCTGTACACATGTATGGAGCTACGCCGACTCTTGGCGACATGCAGTAGCGCCTGCGCTAATACGTACTGAAAGGATAGCAGAATCCCGTCATCCGAAGGCGCGGAGTCTGGCACACCGAGTGGGAAAGTCACATGAAAGCCCTGTGGCGCTTCTGCGCAGTACGTTTGCGTCTCAACACAAACGGGCCCATAAGAGTGAATATTCGAAGGCTCACGAGCGCAGGAACATCTGTCGAGTGATGGTTGAAGACAAGGTATAAACCCACGTGATCGTGAGTCATTCTCAAAACAAATTGAAATTGATCCGATTCCGAAACGTGTGCTGGTCCCGAACGAAGTGCTCGATTCCTGGATTCGTGTGGCGCAGATCACGACGACTCGTGTTACTGCCAAGTGTTTTTCGAAGACGCCACCGCGCTCCGCCAAGCCGTCGTCTTCAACACCTTCTGGCTAGGATTCGCGTTGAAGGCACCACCACCACTCATATGGAC